CCACGTTTCTAGCATTTGTAAAACTGGAACATTGAGTGTTTACTATTGTCATTTTGCATTATTGACACACTATTTTCCTAATTAATGCTGTTCAGTTGCTTTGACACAATCTGTATTGTTAAAAGCGCTATATAAATAAAGGTGACTTGACTTGACTAAAAAAGTTGACAGAATGCACTTTCTGTACTTGTTTTGCACTACTTCAGTTGCATATACGTGTGTTCATTTAATAAAAAGCAGTAAGTGATCACTTGGTCTAGAATTTTTTAAATGCTTAAATTTGCACTAAACATTTTGTATTTACTTTGTAACAATATCCGTTCTATCTAAATTGTTTTTGTTGTTTTTTAATGGGGGCAAAAGAAAATAATGTTTTATTATTTAAAAGCAAATGCAAACATATCGAGATATATTTCGAATATCGTAAAAAATTGTCAATTTCGAGATATACATTTTTTATATATCGCTCATCCCTAGTTGACATGTAATAAACTATTGTAGAAAACAGAAAAGAGAATGCAGTCACGAAATTCAAGTAATGTTTTTAATTACAATGCGGAATATTTTTTGATAAATAAAGGATGGCCCACTTTACCTGAAAATAAATTTGTCTGGCGCACATGACCTAAAAATGTTAATTGGTATATATCTGGCAAATAACACTTTATATAAACTGTATTTAATATTATAGCTGGACCTTAAAGTTAACAAAAGTAATAAAACAGTAAAGGAAAAAAACATCTAGGAATCTAAATTACACATTTTACAAAAAGTGGCCCACTTTACCTGAGTTCACCCTAATAAAAAGTAAGTAGTAGTAGTAGTCATAGTACAATAATAATAATAATAATAATAATAATAATTTAACAATAAAGCATCAAATTCATTAAATAAATAATTTTCCAATTGGCCATTGCTAATTCATATTCAAACATTCTTTTTTTTTTTTTTTTTTACTGTGTTTTGGCAATACCGATTTACAATTTTAAAAAGGAAACTGAAACTGAATATTCTAAATAGCGGGGAAAAGTATGGGACACACAATTTTTATGATGATTTGTGCTAAATAAACAACAAAGCATGGTTAAAATAGTAATTGGGACAACAGTGTTTCGATCAATCATAGGCACAACATGAAACATCTTCGTAGTTCATTTTCGTTCGTAATTCATTTTCATCTGACAAATAAGTCCGTATTCAGTACTCACTCAAAATGATTCATAAATATTTTGATACAGCACAAAGATCCGGTTCAGAGGAGTTGATTGTTGCAGTGACACAAAAACGGGGTGTGCTGTATATGCAGTGCATAGGGGCGCCATTTTGCCAAAATCATTCTGTGAAAATCTTCTTTAATAAAACGTTATAAATAATCAAAAGCTTAGTTATTAAAAATAATGAATGCAACATTTTTAATTAAACGTTTTTTTTAGCATTTTAATGAGTTTAAAAATGTATTTATTAAAAACTTATCCAAATACACAAAATAATGTTCTTTTTAGCAACATCATATGACCCCTTTAAGACGCGGAACGGCCGTATCTCTTTGCGACCACAACAAACGGGAAACTTCTCAGACGCTCACGCCAGCTAGCTTGCCCTCAGTGAGCCAGTCAAACGCACCGTGGACGAAGCGGAGTCCAGCCCGGGGTCGTCACATGTGGTTGCCGTTCCTTCGTCGGATCCGCCGGCCGTGCCGTTCTCGACCCCGCCGCCTCTGCTCACGCTAGGCCGCGGCTTCCGCTCACGATAGGCCGCCGTGTTTTTCGTTGTGAAAGCAAAACTGCTTTGTTTGGTCTTCCAAAGTAGAACAACAGGGAACTGCGGTCTGATATATTGTTATATGTCAGTAAAAAACTTTCCTGTCCTGTCAGCCGTTTTACTGTGCTCACGGCGCACGCTCTTCAACTGTAGGCGAAAATGAGGTGCACTTAAAAATATTACCGCACGGTTACGGTATGTACGGTATTTATGATTACGGTCATAAATAAACCGCACTAGAAACTGTGAGCATACATCGTCAGTTAGGTCACGAAATTACCAAAATGGCGATTAAAACGGCAAAACTGTGCATGCATGTATGTGCATTACATTTAAGAACGTCTCTCAGATGCATGCAGCCTACCGAAATATTCTGCAATTCGAGATCACAATAGGGCGCAAGATGATAGGCTATGTGTTTTTTTTATTTATTTATAATTTAATGCACACGTAGGCCAAATGTGAGCACAGTGCAGTTAAATGTACTAGAAAATATGCGCAAATTTTTCGTTAATTTGTAAAGTACGAAAATGAAAAAAAAATGAAACCATATTTAAATGCATGAAAAAAAAAGCTTATTTTACATCCTTACATTATTTTCCTTTGTACAGAGCTCGATTTAGTTATGACAAAAGTGATGCAATTAATTCATTTTGACAACTAATACAATGTTAAACACTGACTGATAACTTTTTCAGAGTTCATTGATTATAAAATTCAGTGAAGGTTGACTATCGTTATCTGCATGTCTCATCCATGAGTGGGCCTATGCAATGATGGAGAACAAGCAATGGTGCAATGGTGGAAACATATGTTTGTGAATGGGCATTTGATTTACATTTGAGACAAACTAAGATTGTAAACAAGGATATAAACTAGCCACTTTTCACTGCCGTTGTAAATTCAAAATAGGCCATCTGTGTAATTCAAGTAGATTCAATGAGTTGAAAACTCTTGCTACTTCATACTTCAATACAAAACAATGCTGAACTTTGACAAAAAAAGAGATTTTTAAATGTTATAATAGTGATTTTATAATGTCTAAATATAAATCCATTAGCAAAACATGTGAAAAGAACTATATTACAGAGTGGAAATGGTAAAGGAGACAATAAATGATCCTCTGCTGCCATTAGTGGCCATAGTGGGAATCATGACATTAATTTTAATAGTATTAGTTTTGCTACCAGGTGAAATCTTGGCAGAAATCTTCCACTTAGCATGGCAAATTTTCCATGAATTATCTCTTTAAGTAAAAATGAAAAAAAATAATAATAATTCAGATGTTCTTTAAAATACATTTTACTATATAAAAATTTGCAAAAATATTTATATATATTATATAAATATATATTTTGAGGCAAATGATAAATACATTCAAATTACGTAACTAAAAAGTGTGCAATAGTACATGTGTTTGAAAATAAAAATGAATAAAAAAATGTGTTCAACTGTCTGGGGTCTGCCATCAGGAGTTAAAGGGGATGTTATGTGACACACTTCTTTTTTTACTTTTCACTTTTTTTCCCTATGGTATTAAAAAAGGGGGAAGGGGGAAGGGGGTTCGAACCTTTGTCACTCCTTCACTCCTGATGAGTTTGTATCCTTCCATGCACAAGCTAGTAATGGGCTTTTGGTCATTGACTTGCAGAGTCAACTTCTGCGCAAGTTATTAGTGTTAGAGGCTACTAGAATACAGGGGGCGCCAACACTGATCTTGCATACCCCTCGGCAAATGTGCTGTTGCGCCCCTGGTTGTACTGTATGTTTTTGTTTATTTTTTTATTATTCACTCAAATGAACCGGCTCGGCAGGAGGACAGAACGTTTAAAAAAGAAAAGAAAAATATATCATGGGATGGGTCATATTTCTTCTGCTTCTCTCGAGTTTTTTGGCTGATTGGCAAACCAACGTTAAAGGTGCATGTCCGCCACCTACTGGTCTGGAGTGTGAAACGTACACGGTTCAGCTATGAATTATTCAACTGTTATAGATTTAAAAAAAATTAATAATAATAATAATAATAAAAAAATTAAATAAACCAACATTTTTTACATAAATAAATACAAAATTCAAAACTTCAAACTCTTTCCATTAATCTTGTCTTTTTTAAACACTTAAACAATTCTCCATATATTCTTGATTGCATTACCCCATAACCTAATAGTGTCTTTAGAGATATACTATTAATTCCCATCAGTTCCAGTTCTTGGAACATCTGATGTCTTTCCCTTTCATACGCTATACATATTAAAAGAACATGCTCAACCGTTTCTGGTAGTCCACATTTATCACAATTGCCTGTTTCATGTTTCCCTATTATGTGCAAACTGTTATTTAATGCTACATGTCCTATTCTCAATCTAGATAAGATAATGGGTCATATTTGATGCTATTTTCATGACATCAGTATCTTTTAGAGTTATTGTTTCAGAGATTTACTTTTAGGCTACTTTAAAACGAGACATGTCAAACTTTTTATTTATTTGCCATCCACCACGCCGTGATGGTGTCGAGACATTAAAGGGGTCATATGATGCGATTTTAATTGTTCCTTTCTCTTTGGAGTGTTACAAGCTCTTGGTGCATAAAGAAGATCTGTAAAGTTGCAAAGACTAAAGTCTCAAATCCAAAGAGATATTCTTTATAAAAGTTAAGAGTTAACCACGCCTACCTAAAACGGCTCGTTCTAACACGCCCCCACATATCTACCTCACGATGTCGGAAGATTTGCATAACGCCGCACAAATGTTCACACAAAGAAAGAAGGCGTAACTTTTATTCTCGCTGTAGTATTGTTGTTGCGGCCGCCGCCATGTTGTGAAGACGCTGTGTGCTTACGCTGGCCCGCCGCCTCAGCTCACGCTGGCTACAGTCTGTAAGTACGTTTTCATTTAAAGGATTTGCCACTGATGATTCAAACGCGATCGCTTTTCAGACCGATGAGCTTTGTAAAAATCGACTCGTTTCAGAAAGGCGGGGCATAGAGGAGAAACAATAATGTACAGTATGTGGAAAATAATGTTTTTTTATTTACTTTAAACCGCATAAACACATTTCATTACACCAAATACACAAAATAATGTTCTTTTTAGCAACATCATATGACCCCTTTAAAGAATCACTGAATCGAAACGAACTGTTCAAAAGAACCGTTTGCGGAAACGAGTCGGAACTGAGCGTCATTGGAGGGCGGTCTCAGTGGGCGGGGCTTTTCAGGACGTACTAAAAGCGTACGCGAGCGCTCTTTTCCGTCTTGTACGGAGAAGCACGTGTGACTGGACGGTTTCTACCTGCGCCACTCTCCCGTTATCAGCTTTACTGTAAAAACAGCCTTCAGTCATGGTCAAGCTTGCCAAGGTAAGATACCTGCACACATATTATAACAATTAAGCGTTTAAATTTAAACGGTCAAAGCGCGAAATGTTTAGTTTTTATCGCGACTGGTGAGAAGAAGGCCCACATGTGCAACACATGTATTTCGATCAAATGTGTGGTACAGCTTTGCAAATGTAAACTCAAAAGAGTGAAAATGACTTATAATGCTAAATAGCGGCGCCTAAAATCAGCTAATGTTATGTAATATCCGTTTTTGTTGGTTTTTCGTTTAACACGGGCTGACCACGCGTCTCCTTCATTAGGCCTCAGCTGACACGCGTGAGGTATGCTTGTTTTTAGTATGTATTTGACATGTTTCGTAGTGTTGTAAAATCGACCTGTGTGATTAGCGAGATGTTTTTGAGTTTTTAGAGTGCCGTGGTTTCGCGCTAGATCGCGTTTTCGCCATGTGTGCCGTGTAGCGATGTTAGCTAAAGCTAAACGCCTCCATTTTGGCTCTTTGAAGCGAATGAGCGGACATTTAACACGCTGCATTAAACTGCGTCGTGTTGTTAGTGCGTATTATTGGACTTACACGATTATAATATGCGAGCATGGCACATTTGTTTCTGATGCTAGCATGTTGGATAGCAAGCATGTGGGTTTTCCACGTGTAGCGTGAACCCCACGTGGGTTCGTCCACGCGCAGTGCTGTCGTTTTGAGTCTAAAACTTTTACTTTTTTTTTTTTTTTTTCTTATTTTTAAACGTTTTATTGGTGGTTGTATTTACTTACGAATTAATTTAACCACTCTAGTTTTGAGTCTAAAACTTTTTCTTTTTTTTTTTTTTTTTCTTATTTTTAAACGTTTTATTGGTGGTTGTATTTACTTACGAATTAATTTAACCACTCTAGCAACAACAAAAAAAAATGCGTTGACAAAAATCCGCAGCGCAATAATTTTACGCAAATACGTGTCGTGCTTTTTGAATGATCCACAAAAACATATTTTGTATAGTTATTTTGTTCTTGCTCTTTAACGCGGTTTAAATGAAAGCGCAAATGGTGTTTTATTTGGCCACGCCTCCAAACATTTGCTGTCTCATACAAGCCCTGGAGATGCATGTTAGGTTATTAATTTTGTTTGCTTTTTAATGGAATGTATGCAATAGTGTTTAAAAAAAATAAATAAAATACATTGAGATTAAGACAATCCCATGTAAATATTAACTTATCGTATTTTCTGAAAAATAAGTCGCACAAACTCATTATTTAGAAAAAAGTTGAATTTTTCATTTTATTGCGCTCAAATATAATAAACTGAACAATTCGCAAACAATATAAATATAATGTTAATGAACTTGTAATATATTAATAAACTAAAATATAATAATAAATTTGTATTTTTAGTTCTATTCACTAAAATCCAATTTAATTGACAAGTCGCAGCACATTTGAGATCATAAAAACGTTACCTGTGTTTAGAAAATATGATAAACATCAGCATAATTGCAGGAACTTAAAAACTAAAAACCCTGCCCCCGCAAACCCACCTTTTCTTTGCAGGCAGCTAAAAAACTGGCGCCTCTGAAGAAAAAGGCACCTCCACCTCCCAAAGAAGTGGAAGAAGAATCCAGCGAGGAGGAGAGCGAGGAGGAAGAGGTGAGGAATCGATCTGTAAATAACGTGTTTTAAACATTTAGTTGCTAATGAAGGAATTGTTAGACTGAAATTCAATCTCAATTCGGCAGGCGCCACCAGCTAAAGCTGTAGCAAAGAAGAAAGCGGCTTCGGCGAAGGCAGTGAAAAACGGAAAAGCTGCTGCCAAACAGGAGAGTGACGATGAAGAATCTGGTAAGCGAATTGTTTTCATGGTTCTCTCAGTTCTGTATTAATCTAAAAGTCAAAATATCAGTAATGCGTCTTAATTTTTCTCGATAGAAGAGGAAGCTCCTCCCCCAAAGAAGGCAGCACCTGCTAAAGCAGCAGCACCTGCTGAGGAGTCCGATGAAGAGGATGATGATGATGGTATGAAAGTGCTTCAGGAGGGTGTGCATTCATAAGTGACTAACATTTCTAACAACTCCATTTCCTGTCTTTGTAGATGACGAATCTGAGGAAGAGCTGCCTCCACCACCCAAGAAGGCGACTCCTGCCAAAGCCACGAAGAAAGCAGCTCCTGCAGCCAAAGCTCCTGCTGCGAAGGAGGAGTCTGAGGATGATGATGACGACGACGAGGAAGACGATGATGATGATGATGGTGTGTGTGAATGGCTGTTTATTTTTAAGAGCTGCACATGTGATGCATAAGGGATTTAATACTGAAGGTGTTTGATTCTGTGCACTGAAGTTTGCATTTGCCATAATTTTTAAATGTTTTGTCCGGATTCAGAAGAGGAAATGGACACGACTCCAGCGCCCAAAAAGGCAGGAATGGTGAAAGCAAAGGAGGAATCTGAAGAAGAAGAAGAAGAAGAAGAGGAGGAGGAGGAGGATGATGATGAGGACGACGACGATGAGGAGGATGATGATGAAGAAGGTATGATAGTGAAGTTCTTTTTAGATTGTCTTGATGTTCTGCTGATCCGATGCATTTGGTTTGTTAAAAAAAAATATATATATGTATGTATGCGCACTGAATTTTCACCCGCCTAAAGTTATCAGTGGAAAATGGCGTTTTTGGTTTTCGGGCGAAATAACGAGCGGGGGGGAAGAGATATATATATATATATATACACACACACACACACACACACACACACACATTTTCCAAGTAAGCCAATACTTATGTATAGTAGTACTCTTCTTTCATGATACAGGTTTTTTCTTTTTTTTTTCTTTGGCATTTTCATCTTTTATTTAGATAGGGCAGTGTAGTGAGTGACAGGAAGTGAAGTGGGAGAGAGAGGGGGGCGGGATCGGGAAAAGTCCAGGATTCGAACTCGGGACGCCTGCAGCGCAATGGTGCTACATGTCGGCGCACTGCTTACGGGGCTATCAGTGCCCACATTTCATGCTACATTTAATACATTTACGAGATATAGCATTATACTCTTCTCAGCACAATGTGTTGTGTTCCTGATTTATTATAGTTTCGTGTTGTGTGTTTTTATTTTTTTGTTTTTTTTTATATATAAAGCTTGATAGCATTGGTCACTTCCAAATAGTTCTCTTATTCACTTTGTCTTGGTTTTGCTCTTAAGAAACCCCAGTTACTCAAGCAAAAAGGAAAGCGGAGACCAAAAAAGAGAAGGGAACTCCGCCGGCTAAGAAAGCTAAAACTGATGGTGAAGGTGATACTTCAATTCTATACACTTCAGTTTGTGTGCATTAAACTACATATGATGATTAAAAGGGACTTAATACTGAAATGTGATGTCACCTTTTATATTAATTCTGATGCTGGTGTAAGGGGGAGGAGTCTGTTTCTTTGTTTTGGTATGGCGGGCTAAATTTGCTTTGAATTCTCAGGTTTTAGTCTCTACTTGGGCAACTTAAACCACAATAAAGACTTTGATGAAATCAAGTCCGCTATCGCAAAGTTCTTCTCAAAGGAAGGCCTTGAAATTCAGGACGTCCGAATTGGCGGGACCAAGTAAGGAGAAAATTGTTGTTGTTGTTGGATATCCTATTCAAGTAAATTGTCATTGCAAAGGAGTTGTTAACTTCTAAATCAGGTGTCATAATTTGCTATGAAGGAAATTTGGCTACGTTGACTTCGCGTCAGAGGAAGAGCTGCAGAAGGCTTTGGAGCTCAATGGCAAGAAGCTGATGGGCCAACCGGTGAAACTCGACAAAGCCAGAAGCAAAGAGAACTCCCAGGAAAACAAAAAAGGTAAAATTCCCGCAGCTGCCGCTTGGAGCGTAAATCCAACCATAAATGATGACACCTTTTCACTTTCCTGAACTCTCGTGTGGGCTTAAGATAGTCAAGTGCTGATCTCGAACCGTCGCTAATGTGGTACATCAAACATTGAACTCGCAGACGCCAACGTTTTAGCGCTTTTCTCTTCCTCAGAGAGAGATTCACGCACTTTGTTCGTAAAGAACCTGCCGTACTCCGTAACGCAGGAGGAACTGAGGGAAGTCTTTGACCAGGCTGTTGATATCAGGATACCGATGGGCGACAGCGGTTCTAGCAGAGGGTAAGACTAAGCCACGGCTCTTCGTGTTATTAAAAATGCATCTTTTAAGCGAATCCTTGACTGACATCCTCCTCTTGGGGTACAGAATCGCCTACCTCGAGTTCAAGTCGGAGGCAATCGCCGAGAAGGCAATGGAGGAGGCGCAAGGGTCAGATGTTCAGGGCCGGTCTATCATCATAGACTTCACCGGAGAAAAGAGTCAGAAGGGTGGCAGAGGTGAGTAAACTGTGCGGTCTAGGTCCGGTTTGGCTCTGGACTAGATCTGTTGTAGATGAATGTTAACTGCACTTGTTTTCTACTCCTTTTAGCTGTTGCAAACAAAGTACTGGTTGTAAACAACCTAGCGTTCACTGCGAATGAAGACGCCCTCCAGAGTGTGTTTGAGAAGGCCGTGTCCATCAGAGTACCACAGAACAACGGCAGACCAAAGGGGTACAGCAGTTGATTCAGTGCATTTAAAGATGTGTAGACATGAATTGTTTATTAGGTTTTTATTAATTTGACAATTTAATACAGGGCTCCAGCCTGCAAGCTTTTTTTCTGCTGGTGCGAGTAAATAAAAAAAAAAAAAAAAAAACATTAAACGAAAGCAAAAAATCCCCCTACTTGTTTGAGCCGCCG